ATGGACTCGCCCTAGAATACGATTGATCCACCTCACCGAACGCGACTACGGACCGTCAGGTCGGCCCCTTGGTTTCTCAGGTGGCCCCAATGCCACACCATGCTGAGGCACCCTGGTTCAACTCAAGGTAAGCTGCCGATACAACCTTCATCTTATCGGCATATGGGCCGCCATGGACCATGGTGTTTGACCAGCAGCTGTCCGTCGCACCCTGCCCGCTGATCCCTGTGCCAGATCTTTTGATCGCCTCGGTGCCCCAGCTGCCACTTCCGCGACCCCAGGTACACCCTGCACAGCGCGCTAACCAAAACCTCCAAATTGTCAACCCTCCTTTGCTTCGCTGACAGCGTCCCCGACACGAGTGAGCCACGGCTGTTCATAATCGGAAGCAACTTTGACATCATGGACTTCAGCTATGCGCCATTTCCCATCTGCACTCCACAAAGTTGAGACGCTTCATTCCGCGGCGCCCGTCACGATCGGATGGCCCAAGTTGCACAAACTGCCAATGCTTGTCAAAGTGACGGACAGGGGACGCCATCTCTGTTCCCCCGCTCCCTCGGCTGGGGCAACGCTCAAGTTACACAGTGAGGAAATATTGCTTGGTCAGTCCTCCCGAGCCACTATTATTGCTACGATGCATGTCAAACAAGAAGCCACGCGATTAGCTCCAAGATCGACACGTCAGGTCTACTGATAACGCGGGAAAAAAGGCACCAAGTTCAAGGGAACGCACAAGAAAAGCACAGCCGGAAGGATTGGCCACGCCTGATTGCCCCAATCCTAGGCTCAGCATGCTGAACCCTCGGTCTCTCTCAGCAACAAGATTCTGCTGCGTGCAGATGCTATCGAAGCACTTGCACGGTCATGGAAGATCACACACCTTTCTTGGCGACCACGAACGCCGTCTGTTTTGCTCTACCGTCCCGTATAGCCGCTTAGCTTGACGCTGTCTCTCGTTTCGCCTGTCTCTCATCTCACCGTCTTTCCCTTAGCTAAGCTAAGCTTCGTTCTTCTTTTCTGAATTAACTTTCAACGGCTGATCTCACCATCCCCAAAGAAGGAACTTTTTCATTCCGCTTACGCAAATCGGAGAAAAAAAGCAACGGTTCCATTGCAGCTATCTCCAAGTAGCACCCGATTTGCATCCGTATTCCAACAATACGGCTGGGCCAGAGCTCCGGGTTCTAAGCTCGTGCCCAGCGGTGGTGACACAGCGGCAGATATGTTGTGTAGGGCCACTGCTTGTCAATGACTTCAACAACCAGAGGCAACAGCACGTTGAAATCAAAATCAGCTAGCCGGTTTTTACATGCTGTGCCTCGCTACCACGCCATGCGTACCGTTCCATCGCCACTGCCCATGGCTATCGACAAGCTGCAACCCTGATACGAGGGCCAGATGAGCAGCACCAACGATGTGGTCAGCACCATACCCCTGGACACCGCCTGTTCTTTGTGCCGAGCCCGGCATATTCCAGCTGGCTCTTGAGCATGGCATGGCCATCCACACTCTTTTCGCAGGGAGCAAGACCCTTGCAGTCATTTCCCGCGCCCAGATGTAACTCACAGGCGCATCTACAACCCAGCATTTGCATGCGCAGACGAGGAAATATTGCATCCTGCATCCCCCCACCAGCCCTAATCCCTCTATAAATGGTTGGGTGTGAAGCATCCCGCCTTAGCGCTTTTTATTCACCGAGCCTTGCAGCAGGCCCTGGTCCCAGTCCGCACCCTGGCGGCTGACGACCAAAAAAGGTCATCCCACTGAACACTCAGAAGATGGGCGTAGTAATGGCAGCCTCCCTTGCCAAGGATCAGCGGGGGAGTCTGCGCGGTTGACTTCGTGGCGCGACCGGCTTGGGTTGACAGAACTTCAGTGCGACCGAAGCGATATTGAATGTCAGCTTGAGTCGTGCCAGCTAACGCCTTCTAGTTGCCTCCCGTTGGTGCGGATTCGAATGCTGACGCCGCGCAGGACCAAGGTGTCAAAGTCAAACAGTCCATCGCTTTCCTAATCTGGATCGTTCTCCGGTTAAGCGGCCTTGAGACATATCCACCCGGCCGGTCGGTCGCCGTGCCGGAGGTGGGTCCTTCCGGATCTCGCCGTCCGGGGCTGGACTGCGTGTGTGATGGAACGCTTTCAGATGTTCTGCTTCGCGGCAGACGCAGAAGCCCTCGAGGATCCACGTGATACTTTTCAATCACTCGACTTCATCCAAAAATAAACGTCGTTTCAATTGTACAGCGGAAAAGCCCCTTTCCGTGAGAACGAGCAGTCGTCGTCCGACAATTGCCCCACGAAGGAAGCTATATGCGCCCACGGATTTTACTGCCAATGGACTCCGTGGAAGCAGTTCGCACCGGGAGTAATTAGTCGAAAAGACATACCAAAGTCCTGTGGGTTCCTGTCAACCCTCCGTGCTTTGACACCAGGAACCAGAGGGTTGGGTCTTTGCTCGCGCTTTGATCGCAACGCAGACCACTGACCTCCCTCGTTACCGCCCAACCGCGTCGGCACCCCACATATTGGAACAATTCCACGGAACTGCGGTCATTCAAACGGACTTTTACGAGCATCGCGCTCGGTTCCAGCTTGCGTACACAATGGACGGACACTGGGACTTCACCAGCCATCTTTCTTTTCCACCTGCACGATCTCTCGGCGTACCGTCGACTGTGCCCTTGGATACGGGGGCAAAGTCTGGCTGGTAGAGTCTCGACACAAGGGCGCATGCCATTGACATGGCCTTCTCCGAGAGGTCGGGCGAGTGTGGATGGGCACCGGGCGGCTGGGAAGCTCCGTACCGAACACGAGCCCTTCGCTAACATGTTGCTTTATCTCACATCCTTCTTTGCCCATGGCACCGCCGTGTCTAGACCTCTCAATGTAGGGCTTTCGCAAACTACATTACATCAGGTGAATTGGGCATCCCGGTGGGCGGTCTTGCAGTTCGCGAGGGTCTAACTTGTAGATGAACATGTCGCCTCGGCTGGACGTTGAGGGCTGGTTGGAAAGTTTTCGGCATGCTGGGCTCTTTACGGCCTATCTCGATCTAAACTGCATACACGAAACGAGATTGATGTTAAAAACGTCCCGACAGTATGGGTGTAATAACTTTAATATAACCCGCCAACTGTGACAGATGTCTTTGAACTCAACCAGAAGCGTAGGTCGCATGTCTCATTTTCCCATCCATCGCACTGGTATACTTTAGTCATGAGGCGATATCTCGGAACGGTGTGCATGTGAAGCGCTTTTCCTCTGATCAGCCATTTGTTTCACCACTCGCGGCGTCAGCATGTGGAGCACCAGACTCTCACAACTACATCGTGACAATTCCGCTGAGTAGACTGCGTACGCTCATATCATGGGACTATAAGATTTCAGGGAAACGGGGAGTACTTGAAAAGGGTTCATCAATTTCTACGTACTTATTTCCGTCTGTATGTTTGCATGTACTTTGGTTCCAAGCGGACGCCTTTTGCCTCACAGAAAGACGTGCTGGTGATTCAACAATCCCACCACCACCACCATCACCAACATCAGTTTCCAGGTCGTAAACAAAGGAGAATCACAAGCCTTTTCATGACCCTACATATGCCAGTTAGGAGGCCCAGAAGCCCCAAAGTCTGGATAACCAACTCCTTGAAGTTAACAGTGACCCCCCCTTTGTTTTGGCTTTTTGGCTGAACTTGATGACGGGTGCTTTGTTCTACTGAATTGACACCATTTTGACAACTTCACCCAGCCTTGATATTCCCGCCTGATATCCTGTCTTCGGGAATTCCGGCTGATCTTTGGATTTGTTAGAGTTGTAGCTGTATAAGCTCAAGCTGACAACTACGCCACATCTAGAATGAACCCGGACTTCTCCCACGGAGGTAAGTGAAGCTTGTTCTCGCCTGTCGATATCACGAATATGTTTGACTGATACTAAACTTGACCGAGCCTGATATTTCTGTTGGTTCGATGTTGCTGTAGAACGCCCACTTGACTTTGGGATGTTCTTCCTATGTCTGAAGATGCTTTGAGTGCCGCCCATTCGCGCGTCATCGCGAGTCAAGCTCGTGACCTAGCCAAATACGGAGGGACTTACGTGCTAGATGCCTTCGAGCCTATGTTGATGGTGATGGCTCTTGTGGTTTCGGCAACTTAGGGTTGCCGTGCATTGGAACTCTCAGGGACATTTGCTTCCAGCACACTAATATCGATTCGCGTGTTGGTAGCTTCGGCTCGAAACCAAGACTGATTCATCCCACTTGCGAGGAACTCGCAATGGAGGATTCGGTTGCTGTCCCCGTATTTGGCAGATAAATCTTCCTGCCAAGAAAGGACCAGCCGGGACGGACTGAGTAGGATGCGTTTCCGTTTCATGTCGGACACATCAGTTCAGGAGAGTGAAGAGTTGCGAAGGCGGTTGAAGCTACTCCTGAAAGCAAGAAATGGGCACAATTATGCTCCCGATGAGCTCCAAGAAGTCGCTCGACATGATGCGGCGTGCTCAGTGAGAGTCACGCTCGGTCCCGTCACGATTTCTTGCAGTGATGGCGTACGCCGCTCGATGTACGGGACAGACGGGCCAGATCCAATGTATGCAATTGGTATGGAGGCGAGGCTTTCGGGAGCCGGGGAGGCCGGCAAGTGGGTTGGAGCTGTGGAGTTTACGGCTGGTTACTGACGTTAGTTGGTTGACAAGCACATATGCTCTTTTGTCTCGAGGGTTGCAACACTTCTACAGCTAATGTACCGCAAGTATGCATGCTGGTTTAGCTGACTTGCAAATATATAGGTCTTATGTGAACGATACACGTCAACCTCGAAACTACGTGCACCTCCGACGAAGCACGCGAATCATTGAACATCTCTGGGTATTGAATGCTTTTTGAAGTCGCTATTTAACTCGTCTTGCTAAACCCTCCCACCGAGAAATTGACTATGAAGAGGAAACTTAAGGCTGTAAGGGTGGGCGTTACGCGAGACCGCAGTAACAATCGCAATCAGCTCCGTTGGCCATCTGTCGCCCTCCTTCCGTTCGGCACTGCATCGAAAGTCAGCACAATGCGGTTCAAGATGGGACGTTTACCCTGCTCGACGCGCTCTTCTCGAGGCGCATCACGGAGCTGCGTGAACTCACCTTCTGACCGCAAAGAGTCTTGCAGTCCTGCTGGTCCGTCGGGCTACAGTTGGAAACCCACTGATGAACGCGCCCAAGGTTAGCCGACTGATAATTCGCATGCCAAAAGAGGCGCGGGCGGGTTTAAGCGCAGCCAAAGTTGAAGGGGGGAGGACTCACGTTGGTAGGGAATGTAGTTCCACATTGTTTCAATCGGAGGCCGGCGCTCGCGAAGGAGATCTGCAGCGCAGCGAGGAGGAAAGCAAGGAAGAAACGCATCGTGACTGGCGGTGGAGACTCGGCCGATTTCTTATGAGGATGTACAAGAGAGCGAAGTTGTGATGAACGAACGACTGTGACTAGATGGATGTTCAGTCCCCAGAATTCCGAGAGGAAGCGCGATGTATTTACATCTTTGCCAAGACGGAGTACTCCCTTTGATCATTTAATCACTATTCAAATTTACACGAGTTGGATCGTCCAGTTTGATGGAAAGTTGCCTATTTGATCTGGTTGAGGCTAGGTCAGCGCAGACTGACTCGCAACTCAATCTATTAGACTCAGAAATGAGCATCCCGACATACTCTATCCGAGCCTTATTACTCTAATTTTCAGTAGACGTCAGGGCCAAAAATGGGGAATAAACTTGGCGGTGGTTTCAACCTATTTCCTATTTGTTTGTTCGTAATTACCGCTGACAACTGTCGTTCCGCGGAGAAGAAAGCGAACCCGATGCGAACTCGGGAGGGGGTTTGGCTTCACCGACGGCAATGTGGGGCGGTTGCGAAGACTATCCAACGGAACACAATAATGACTGGCTCGTGCTTCTAGACGAAGACTTTAGGTGACGGAGATAGAGAATTCTTCAAGGCCTGAATCATTGACCGTCTTTTTATGGAAACAAGATATCGCTTAGGCGCAATTAGGTTTCTTTGAAACTTGCCATGCAATGTCTTCATCCATTGTAGAAGATTCAAGAAGTTGAATAAGATTGATAATTCGGGTCGAGCATCACAACCCGACTAACTTTACTCAATCGCTCTTTATTCATCTTGTAAGTAGTTGAACTGGGTTATCCGAACTAAAGAGTTATAAGTCTAAGATCACTCAAATTGACAGTCAAGACTCAGAGAGGCTAGATACCAGGACCCGGAAAGCCCGCAATGCCTCAGGGCTCATGTGAACGAACCAGACAAGACCTTTTGGCGAGATAGGTGCGCGGTATCGTATCCCATTTCTACTTCCCTGCCATTGGCCATCAACTCCACCGAACAAGCCTTCAGAAGACCAAGTCTAGACTGGGGACTTCAAACAGCGCTTTCCCCCAAAGTCTGGATGGTGCCCCTTTCGTGAAGCAGGTTCGTGTTCTTTATCCTCAATTTTGATGCATTTTAAGTGCCGCATGTCAGGAAGACTCACCTCGCGCGGGTTACTCCGCACAGCGTAGGAAACTTGTGAGGCGGTGAGCTTCGAGATTCTTGAGAACCTGTGGTCCACCGGGTTGCCAGAGCCAAGGCTGGGGCTGGAACGATGACTACGGGTGTTGATTGAAGCTGGTCTGTGAGAACTGAGGTGAAAAGCGTCCTCGACGTATGCTTCGACAAGTACCACGCTAGTCTCTCAACTTTACCGCGCCGCTGCTTCGTCGAGCGAAGTGTCGTACGTGATCGAGATAATCTGAAGGTATCTGATCCCACCCCGTCCCCCCAGCTGTTGGGACTCGGAAACAGGAGACGATTCCGGTTCCTGTTCCAACACTCCAAGCATACCTTCATCCGCAGTCTAGACATCATCCATCTTCCCCCTGATGGGTGCAATATGGCTCTCCCACCTCTTTCAACCTCGCTCGCGCCTGTAGTCAGCGTCTGGTTCCGATGCGGGTATGCCGACTGGCAGTCCTCTGGCCTATATCCGATAAGCGTGTTGTCGCGCACTCGGCGATGATCTGATAACGTTCAGTAGTAGGTTAAACACGTTGACAGGTTCACCCGACCGCAGATCAAGTACCGCACCATCAACCATACAGCTCAAGTCCGATCATGTTCACATACGCAATGCAGTACCAGATTGTCCAAACTCGACAAAGTGCCGATGGTACATGTTGAACACGCTATACCAGACAAAGAAATAAAATGGGAGTCCCAAACGCCGCGACTGGCTTTTCTTTTGATTTGAAAACCTCTCTAGCCAGAGAAAATCTCCTCCAAGCCGGTCCATGTCCCCTTGGACCTCTCCTCCCAGTACGAGTCCTTGCCGGTCCTCAGCTTCCAAACCTCCTCGCCCTCTGGGCCTTGTCCGACCTTGACGAACCACTTCGGCCTGTGCTCTTCGCCCTTCTCTTCCAGCACGCGACGGCGTGCTCGCTGTGCCTCCTCGAGCTTGACCTTCCACTCCTCTGCCTGGTCCAAGTCTCCCTTCTCCGCCAAGCGCTGATCAGGTCTCAGTCTGCTGTCCGTTGGCGGTAGTCTGTCCTTCTCGATATCGGTGACCTCGTTCAGAGCGGCCGCAAATGTCGTCATACCGTACGTGTTGGCGGCATTGTCGACAAGCTTGCCAACACGCCAGATCTCCTGACCGGCGGCCTTGCCGGCTTCGACAACGCGAAGGCTGCCAGTCCACGTTCCCGACAGACTGCTGCCAGTATGGACACCATCCGGACCGTATGTTTCCACCTGGACGTCTTCGCCTCGTCCTCCAAACATTCCCTTGCTGCGGAATTCGACGGAGGCCTTGGCACCAGTGGTGTCGTTGGTAATCGGCATAACGCCAACGGGTTCCACGTACTTCTCACCCATGACTACGTTGCGCAGGAACATCGTGGCATGAGTCCAGGAGTACAGCTCATCTGTTCCGTCAGGCAGTCTCAGTGCGACGCGGACGCGGCCTTCCGTGGTGATTTCGGCACTCTTGCCCCAGAACTTTTGTGACGGCGCGGGAGACTGGCTGAAGGACCAGTTTGCCGAATCCGCCTGCATGGCGAGCCTCACCGGGCGATGGCATACCTTCTCGACAAGCAGGCGGAAGCCTCCTGGTACCTCCTGTTCTGTTCGGAGCATTTCGTACGTTTCTCCAAGAAGCGGGTTAAAGGGCTTGCGGATAGCACGCTCCTTGGCTCGTCCGCTGCTGAATTGTGACACGGCAAAGGCCGTGACGTACAGTAGTCGTTCCTTGGGCTCCTTTGCGCGCGCAGCTTGGTCGAGAAGCTGCGCATACTCTAGCTGTTCCGCTACACGTTGCAGGAGCGATATCGGCTCGTTCGCAGACACGGGCATACTGATAGTACTGAGATCCTTGCCGACGTTCTTCCGTACGAAAGCGATCAAACTCGGGGGCTGAACCAAGGCCGGCGGAACCTTGGTTCGCCTGGTTATTGAAATGTCAACTGGCAGCGGCGACAGGCTCTTGGGCTTTGCCGGGTAGCAGCTCGTATCGTCCTGGCCAATGCCGGCATCCGACTCTGGTGCCGATGAAATCGAGGATGAATCGGTCAAATTACCCTCATCCGGCTCAGAATCCGGGCTTTCATCTTCACTCTGAGCAATTCGGACAATTTGCGAACTCGTCTCCCCTGCCTCGGCATCGAAGAACTCGTCTGTTGACATGGTTTCCATACTCCTGCGAGAGGGGGCGGCAGACAGCGGAGCGGGTGCTCTGCGGCGCTTGCTGTTGGCGATCAGCGTCGTGAACTCAGACACCACAGAGTCAAGGTCATTGAGAAGTGATGCACAATGCTCTTGTGTACTCTTCTCTTCATGAATTGAGGCCTTTGATTTGGAGTGGTGGTGACGAGGACCATTAGAGGAAATGGTGGTCGTGACCGTGTTCGGGGCCGGAACAGCCAGAGCGGTCGCAGCGGATGCCTGATGCGCCTGCGGCGTTGTAGCTGTTGGGGTCGCATTACTCGATTTGCGCTTCCAGAATGGTCGTCTCTGTGCCTGCTGCTCGGTTGCCTGAGGGGAAGGGGAGGGAAAATAGCTGTCGGGCTCTTCGCCCATGCTGGTTGGAGACAGAAAGCTCGACGCTGCCATGCTGACAGGCCTTTGATTCGACATGTCCTTAACCAAGCGACGCAGAGCATCTCTGGTTCCAACCATTCGGCTTACCAACGTCTCAACCTGCTGCCATTCGCGGTCTTCCTCCATGCTTGTCGCATTTGGCTTCAGATGGGTGGTGTTGACTCGTAAAGGCGCCGACCTGGCATTGTTCGGTTGGTCATCGGGGGCCTCCAACCCTCTGGCCGCGCGGCTGGCCTTTTCCAGAGCCCGCGCCCAGTCGTTGAAATCCTTCGCATTGGATGCTCGCAGGTGCCAAATCTCAGCACCTGAGTCAATGTTGATCTCCCTGCGACGTTCGTCGGCCGCGATAGCTGCGAGGCTGAGAGGTATGGCACCGCGCAGAGCCGAGGAGTTGCGGTTATAGTAGTACGACAAGGTGCAAGACGAGTAGTCGAGGGAGAAGAACCTGCGCGCATATCCTTGGCCCTTCTTCCTCCTTCTCTTGTGAAGAATACCGGTGTGGTAGTTGGCATTCTCGCTGCGTCCCGAGGCGGACGTCGGTCGCACACCGCCGCCGGTCTTATGGCTGTGGAGACTGTCCTGGGAAGCGGAAGTGACGGTGGTCACTTGGGGCAGGCTGGTTCTGCTGGCACTCGCGTTCGCAGCTTGGAGGTTCGGGAAGGCGTTGGCGGTGGTCTGGGGCGGGGCACCGGTCGGGTAGGTCAGAAGGACGAAGGTCGCCGTCTTGGAAATCTGCTTGGAAAAGGTGTTGTCAAATACCAGGCCGAACATGCCGCCCTGGCCCTTCTCGACATCCCAGGTGCCGGTGGACACCTTGTCTGCATCGCATTTCCCGTGCCATTTGACGGGTATGAAACCCTTGCTGGAGAGCTGGTCTTGGGCGGTGATGGAGTCGCGCTTGGCAAAGCGACCCTTGGGTTCGGCTACGCCGGAGGTGAGGGCGCCGGCGGTTGCGGTGTCGTCGTTCTGGTTGGCAATCAAGCCGGTGGCACCGGTGCCCGGATGCTTGACGATTCCAAAGTTTCTGCCTCGGCGTGAGGTAAGCACGTGTCGAGTTGGAGAAGTATAGCGAGGAGAAGAGGGGGGAGAGGTACGCACATGGACTTTTTGTGTGGTTGAACGCTCCAGGATATGGTGTGGCCTTCGTCGACTTTGACCCAACGGACGATGTAGGACTGGTGACAGAGAGCAGCTGTTAGCTTGGGGATAGACCGAGGGGAGTCGAACTGAAGACGGCACGGAGGAGGGAGGGCCGGGCAATGA